TCATTTAAATGGCTTCCATTCAGGGGTTGATTCAAAAAGTCTCTAATTGATATTGATCCTCATTGCACAAAACTGTGTTTAATATAGACACTATTTGCATAGCAAGCTAGCCTCCTTGGTTAAAAGAGGGGGGAAAAAACTCATGAGACTGTTTTTCTGTTGATATTGCTGTCAGTTGTTCAGATGGAGCTTCCTGCTTGTTTAGCTTATAGTTTAAATTTTAAAAAAAAATTTGTGGCCATATCTTTTGCCGTATGGGTTACACTGTATGAAGAGTTTTAATTTAACAGAAGGAAGAAATTGGGAAGAATAAAGTAGTATTTTTTTATACATTCCCATGGCTACAACTTTTAAAATCATGTTTAATCCAGGAAAGGCATTACATTGAATTCTGTTGGTTTAATGACAGTATTTTTGAAATGCTTTGCCTGCATGAGTCTCTCCTTTTGTGTTTCTTTTATAAAGCAAAACGTGTTTTTGGTAGACAACTATCTGGAGTGGGCTAGTTGGTGATCTCTTGTAGAATTCTAATTTTTTAACAAGCATGTCATGAAATATTTAAGAAAAATAAATCTAGCATAACTGAAATCTGAAGTTGCCTATATATTCTTATTTAGAGGTATCTATCTGTATAGCGGGCAACTTGAACTGCTCCCATACTAGAAAATTTAATGTACCACTCAATTACTATTCTTTAGCCCAATTTAAAATAATAGATTGGGAGTAAGGTCTTAATGCGGTGTAACCTTTGGAACATCAGAAATAACCTCTCTCGCTTGTGAAATAAGTGTACAGTAATGACATCAGTCTTACCACATTGCAGCAACACATTTTCTTATTGCGCTTAAAACTTTTTTCATTTGGCAGTTGTTCAATATCTTTTTCCTTGCTATCATCCTGTAGAGTTCAAAACAATTTAAAAATGATGTAGTCACAGTGACCAGAAAAATATGCTATGACTCAAGACTTTGACTTCCTGATGATGTTGTTTTGGAATTATATTAACCCTAGCTTAGATATTGCAGTGCTTAGACTTTGCATTTATCTCTTAGCTTTTTGGTAGAATTTTGTACTCTGTCCTGCCACCATCTATTTGTTTTCCTTTAATGCATTTGTTTTTGTTTTTGTTGGTGTTTATATTTGCAGCAACATGAGGTATAACATAAAATATCTTGGACTTTTTTCATCTGTTCCCTAGCTAACTAAGAATCTATTTGTATTCACCATTTTTTGTGAATGTGTATAATTAAAAATCAGTATCTACATCTGTTTATTACCTTGTAATAACTCACTATTGAATTTGTTCTGTCATTGAGACTCAAACTTGCTATTCTGAATAATCTTTCTCAAGACTTACTCTGTATTCCAGAATGAAAATGTTTCCTCCTATTGTTTTGCCCCTCTGCTTGTTTTCAGCAGAGTACTGAGCTAAATTTCTTCCCCAACCCTGCTCTCCAATTCATCCTTAAAATGAATGTGAAACATCTGTAAATTATATATGTATCTTTTCTTGATTAAATATATTATATATGTATTAGTTAATTATGGTGATACCATAGGAAGATACCTTTTTTGTTAAAATTTTTAGTCTTTGACATAATATAATTAAAGTGGCAAGAAAGAGGTCACTGTTACGAATTAGTTAATACTATACTATACTTGGGATTTTAAATGCATAAAATATAGGAAATTCAGAGTT